TTTCAGGTCAGCAACCCCGACTTCGCCTTCCTCCGCTTCGTGGTGTACGAGGAGGACATGTTCAGCGATGAGAACTTCCTGGCTCAGGCCACCTTCCCGGTGAAAGGCTTGAAGACGGGTAAAGCACGCAGGGAAGCGGGGAGGGGGTGTCATGGTGGTCCTCACCAGTTTGCTAATTGAATCGTTAGCCAGGGAGATGCTGAGTTTCATGGGAGGACGCTGTTAGTCCCCAGGGTGGCTCAGTCCCTCCTGTCCCTGTGACAGGTCACATCCCCAGCCAGGTAAAGGAAGGGCGAAGCCATTTGCTAACATCCCTTGAGGCTGGGGGAGCTGGGGGGGGTTGGAAAAGACCTCCTTGAGTTCTGTGCCAGGGGAGCGACATGTCACTGCCTGTGCCCTGAGTGACGCCAGGGCTGTCTCTGCTGTAGGTTTCCGAGCTGTACCCCTGAAGAACAACTACAGCGAGAACCTAGAGCTGGCTTCCCTGCTAGTCAAGATAGACATTTTCCCTAGCAAGGTGAGGCTGGGTCACGGACGAGATGGCAGTGCCGCAGGGCTGAGGAGCGAAGGCAGCGAGCCCTGCTCTGTGCCACCGGCGAGTCGGTGCAGCGAAGCTCAGCATCGCTTGGCCTGAGTGTGCGGAACGGCCGAGGTTTCCTAGTGCTGCTGTGTCACGATGCACAGAGGGCTGGCGGGAGGTCAAAAGTGCTGGGCTTGCCTCCTGCAGCAAGTTGGGGTGGGTCAGGCAGGGACTTGCCTGGAAATCCCTTCAGCAAAAGCTGAAGGAGGCAGATTTGCTCCATCCCAGTCCCTGTCTGCGCTCCAGGGGGGATTGGAAAAGACCTCCTTGAGTTCTGTGCCAGGGGAGCGACATGTCACTGCCTGTGCCATGAGTGACGCCAGGGCTGTCTCTGCTGTAGGTTTCCGAGCTGTACCCCTGAAGAACAACTACAGCGAGAACCTAGAGCTGGCTTCCCTGCTCGTCAAGATAGACATTTTCCCTAGCAAGGTGAGGCTGGGTCACGGACGAGATGGCAGTGCCGCAGGGCTGAGGAGCGAAGGCAGCGAGCCCTGCTCTGTGCCACCGGCGAGTCGGTGCAGCGAAGCTCAGCATCGCTTGGCCTGAGTGTGCGGAACGGCCGAGGTTTCCTAGTGCTGCTGTGTCACGATGCACAGAGGGCTGGCGGGAGGTCAAAAGTGCTGGGCTTGCCTCCTGCAGCAAGTTGGGGTGGGTCAGGCAGGGACTTGCCTGGAAATCCCTTCAGCAAAAGCTGAAGGAGGCAGATTTGCTCCATCCCAGTCCCTGTCTGCGCTCCAGGGAAGTTACAGCTCAGTATCAGAGGGGCTGGCTGGCCCGGGGCTGTCCGTGTTGGCATAAGCAGAGGGCAGGGCTCCTTGAGAAACAGATGTTTCTTTTATTTCTTCATTTAAAATGATGGTAGTGGGAGCCAGCGGTGGTTGTTAAAGACAGACCAGCTGCACGTTCCAAACCCCGAGCCCCCCTGAACCTTGGACGTCCTGCGTGGCAGCTCGCAGGGCCCTGCACCGGGACTGCCTTTACTACAAGACATACACTTTGAAATCCCAAGCCCTCTACTACTGGGTTTTGGGTTTTGTTTTTTTTTTTTTCCTGATCCAAGCAGGAGAATGGTGAAATAAACCTCTTCAGTGCTTCAGCCCTACGGGAACGAGCAGGGGATGCATCCAACCAGCTGCTGGCAAGCAGAGGCAGAGAGGGGTCCTTCGAGTCGCGGTACCAGCAGCCTTTTGAGGATTTCCGTCTGTCGCAGGAGCAGCTCGCCGACCACATTGAGAGCCGGGAGCGAAGGTAGGCCAGTGCTCCTTCAGCTCTTCCCAGCAGAAGACCACCCCCTTCCAGCATTTAGTCTGGATGGAGACAGATAAATGCAGCCTCCCCATAACCCAGAGCGAAGCTGCAGGCTCGTTTGCTGCATGGAAACCCTAAATTTCAGCATGAAAGTTGTGCCAGTCCTTGGAAGAGTTGCTGATTTGGGGTGTGTGGGAGTAGGGTGGGACAAGGAGCTGCCACCCCCCGCAGCCGGTGGCACTTTCCCCCGGCATGGGGGACATGCTGAGCTCCCGCTTTCCTCCCATGGGGATGGCTTTTGTCACCGGAGCATTGCCCTTGGTCAGCCTGAGCGGTGTCCCCTCTCTGTGTCCCGCTGCAGGGTACTGCGGAGGACCCGGGTGAATGGGGACAACCGGCTGTAGCCCCTCTCGGCGGGTGAAAGCACCTCCAGTGCTTGTGAATCTCACGGCACGCTGTGAACTGGTTTCTATGGAAACGGCACTGCTATGGCCTACTTTCAGGCAGCTTTTCCAGTTTCTCTGCTGAAGTGTGTTCGAGTGGAGAACTAAAAAAAAAAAAAAAATTTGGAAAAAAAAAAAACCAAACCACCACAAACACCAACCCACCCCTAACCAACCCTGACCACCCACCAACCTTCACCACCAAGCCCTTAAGGAAGCGCATCGGTGCGTACAGCCTGCCAGCCGCCGAGGTGAGAGACAAAACTGTCTGTAATCACAAGGAAAGAGACCTAAAAAGAAAAAAAAAAACAACTCAACCAGCCCTCTGCCGTTGCTGCTCTGCCTGTATTCCCGGAGATCCCGCTCCTGCGCAGCTGCCAGAGGCCCTTTGCGGCCATCCTTTGCTGTACTGGTTCCCAGTGCACCGGGCAAGGGGGAAATTAAGTGACCAAGGCAGCACCGATCTCTGTCCTGGCGGCATCACCTCTACCTACCTGTATAGCCACTGCCTATGGGTCCAGTAGTGAAACTCTACATTTACAAGGCCGCCCTAGCTTTAAACGACAATAAAAGTGTCAGTATTATGTATGTGGTGGCTCGG